TTTATTATAGGGTCAGTGGGTGGGTGGGGGTCAGCGGAGTTGTAATTGCACATGTTAACTTTTTATTGTTATAATCTGGGAGAAATAAATATTTATCTTTTGCAGTGTTTTTGGATGTCTATCAGATCTCTCGCTATCTCTTCCTGATCCTACTCAAAAGGCAATTTATACACTACTGTTCAAAAGTTTGCCATCAGTAAGATTTTCTTAAAAAACAAATTAATACTTTCATTCAGCAAGGACGTATTGATCAAAAGTGTCAGTAAAGACATTTATAATATTACAAAAGATTTCGATTTCAAATACTGAAGTGCTGTTCTTTTGAAAGTTCTATTCATAAAAGAAACCTGAAAAAATGTATCATGATTTCCACAAATATATTAATGTAAGTAGCATAACTGTTTTCAACACTGATAATAATAAGAAATGTTTCATGAACACCAAATCAGTATATTAGAATGATTCTGAAGGATCATGTGACACTGAATACTGGAGTAATGGCTGCTGAAAATTCCGCTTTGCATCACAGGAATAAATTATATTTTAAAGTATATTAAAATAGAAAACAGTTATTTTAAATTGCAATAATATTTCACAATATGTTTTTTTTCTGTATTTTTGGTGAAATAAATGCAGCCTTGGTGAGCATAAGAGACTTCTTTCAGAAACGTTATCTCGACCATAAACTTCGGTAGTGTATCTATTTAATTTCTTATTTTATTCATATTTTATATTTTTATATCTGTCTATATATTTATACAGTTATCCTTCTTTAAATTGGCCATATCACTCATTTTTTAATTTGGTAACTTTACAGTAAGTTCAATTTCTTAACATTAGTGAATGCATTATGTATCATTAACTAACCATGAACAAAATCATTTATGAATCTAGGTTAATATTAATTTTACTAATTACAAATTGATTACTTTATACTACTAATACATTTTAAACATTTCAAGTTAAGTATAAATGGACATGTATGTATTATCAATGGGCACAAATTAATTAATTAAAATGCAAACAATACCATATTTATAAATTAGCATTAAACTAGATTAATAAATGCTGTAAAAATATTCAGTGTAAGCTCATGAATCCTAACGCATTAACAAATGTCAAAAAATTTAACCTTACTGTAAAGTGTTAAATTTACTAACACTATAAGTCTATTTATAATATTAGTAAAGACTAGTAAATTAAAAACTGACCATTTTACATCCTCTCTCTGTCTCTTAAAACCATTTTTGCTACTGTGCCTTTAAGACAAATATGTAAATGTCCTCTGAAACCTGTCGGATGTTTTTATAGTACAAGTGCAAAAATATCTCAAAAGAGAATTCTGAGACCCCTTTACATTTCTTTCACATGCCAGTCTGTCAGACAAGTGTGACCCAGCACTCTCCAAAGTTTCCCATCTCACCTTAGAACAGAGATACTGTTGATTACTTCTCCAGAGGAGCGACAGTAGCACCTGCCTCAGTCTCCACACCGAAAGCGCCTCTGGTGGACTGGTGGAGGGGCTCCTCCTGCTCTAATTGGTTCCAGGGCTGGAAGTTTGTCTCTGAGGGGATAACACAGCTCAAATGAGTGTGTGCGACAGTGCTAACTTCCCATCTGAACATAGAACCCTTGGACACTAAAGTAGCACAGTCGCCGGCTGACGATTTTGGTAGTTCGGCCCTGTCTGTGTGTTTGAACGTGAAAGTCTCATCATTAAAGCCAGAGTGATGACAAGAGAAGTGCAGAGAAACACACATGGCACAGATTCATAATTGATAAAAAGAGAAACAAAGGAAGGAAGTGAGACGGAAAAAGAGCAACGGACAATAATCTGATAATCACCTTCATTTGTCACTAGTCCTAGTAGCCTCGGATCCGACCTCAATAACAAATCACAGAAACTGCATTAATCTATTAAAGGTCTATTTATAGTCCTGCCGCCGTCTCGTGTCTGAGGGGAGACTGCAAGCGATTCTTTGGTGGGTGTGAAGTTAGCATTAAACGGATTAGCTCATTAAGCAGAGGCAGGGCTCTTTTTACGTATGCATTAAAACTTTATCATGGTCTCAGAAGAGCTATTAAATATCACAAAGCCCACTAGACACACACCAAAGTTACATTCACCTCATATAGGTAACGACCCACACGGGACCGTGTTTGATCGTATGTGAATCCATTCCTAAACTAATGACTTTCTAAAACCAAAATGCACTGTCTGCCCCAGTCTGAGTGTATCTTTCAGTGGTGTCCCTTAACAGCATGTCTCTTTATCTTTTCTGATACACATTTCCACAAATGGTCTTTTTGCTTTTTCACAGAGGATATTCGCTGTACCATTGCACACCTGTTCAAATGTATTTAGGATGCTCTCCGAACAAATGCAACTAGGGCAACAATATATGTCAGAGCAACCTGATTTGGGCTGTAAAAATACATTGATCTGATGATTAAAATTCAATGTAGTGAATTTAATAATCGATTATAAGAAAGTTAATGCTGCTGTGTTTAAACTGCCTAATTTTAAAAGCAAATTAACAGTTGATTTCCATCCCAAACTGTGAATTATTATGCATATTTTTTAATTTTTGGAGAATATGCATAGAAATTTGTTTTAACTAGCCTTCACTCATTCCTTGTGTTATACACCATTTATATATTGATTATTCTATAACCCTGTTTGATTTGATAATCTATATCCCCCTATACTGTACATGCATTTATATTTTAATTATTGGTTCAATAATCTTCCATGTCTGTTTGTGTTAGTTTACAACATAATCCCAACAAAATACTTGAATCAGATCGACTGATTTCAAGAATCACAATCAAATTGAATAATTGTCAGAACAAATATTCACACCCCTACATTTGATTTGTCCAGCAGTCAAATGGCTGAGTGCATCCCCAAGCTACACTGCAGAGTTTCTGTGTCAAGATGTGTTTGTGCCTCTCATCCATCAGATGTTCAGGTACTAACTACCACATCTTCTGTTACCTGAGGCCCTCTTGAGCATGCCAAACAGACTGACACATGACTGCAACGACTGCCAGGTTAGACAAATTCTGTTTTCTACACGAACTTTGCATGTCATCTCCAATTAAAATCACTGTTATTCTGACTGCAGGTTCTGCAGACTTCACTAGTAACTGCCACTTTAAAGTTGCTTTGAATCACAAATAAGATCCAGTATGGAAATCTACATTTTTTCATGCAACTCAATTATATCTTAATTCAATATAAATTAATACATAAATATTACATAAATAACACACACACACACATGCATACAGATTCAGACTGATTCAAAGCATGTATGTAAAGGTGAAGATTAGTTATACTAGTGCTTGAAGAATTCGATCTCATATACACACACACCTTCACATCTGTCCTCACTTCTTCAGTAACAAATCCCCGGAATACCAGGTTCCAAAATCCGCTCTCTGAAACAAAGCAAAAACACAAACAGGGACACGGTTCGTGAGCTGTTCACACAGACTTATCATCTGAATGCTGCAGGAGTTTGGCAGATGAGGGAATTTGTCCTCGTCAGGGTCTCGGCCCTACGGAATTCGATCACCACTGGCTAATCTGGTTTATTTGGGCTTGCATGGGCGCAAAGGCAATTTCCAGCTAAAGGCATTAAGGGCTTACTTCAGCCAGGTAATTGATTGTTTGAGATGAGAGGGAAATTAGATAACACAAATTGAGGGAGAGGGAACAGTGCCCTTGTGTTTGCCATAGTTCTGTAAAGCTAATGAGAAGAAGACTCAAAGCGAAGTTACGGATGAGTGTCAAATTAAATTGGACAAACATTTAAATAGCCTTTTTGTCACTTAAAAATGGGGTGCCCCTTTCACTCCCGTCTTTAATTAAACTCATTACACTGTTATAGAAAACTGCAGGCCTTCCATAATTAAATCACATGCACAAGTTGTATCTCTCACAGGCTTGTGTTTAATTAAAGGAAAAGTGCACTTAAAAATGAAAACTTGCTGACAATTTACTCACCCTCAGGCCATCATCAGAACAGATTTGGAGCCTTACATAACTTGCTCACTGATGAATTACCTGCAGTGAATGGGTGCCGTCAGAATGAAAGTTCAAACAGCTGATAAAAACATCAATCCACACAACTCCAGTACATCAGTTAACATCTGAAAAGCTGCATGTTTGTAATAAACAAATTCACCACTATGATGTCTATACTCTATTCATAATATTGATTTCCACATGAAAAAGTCATCTCGTCTGAAACAGGAGAGAAATATGCACAGATCACCGTTCACAAGCGAAAACAATCCAAAACAGTTCTAAGTAAATATGTCGGTGGATTTTGAGGACAATAGGGCTTGGACTTTTTCACTGGAGGAAAAGTTATTATGGATTTTGGCCAGAAGCAATGATTTAAAGTTAAAATGCATTAATGATGGATTTTTTTCCAACAAACACGCAGCTTTTCCCTTCACAAGACATTATTGATGGGCTGTAGCTGTGTGTGGATTACTGTAATGTTTTTATCAGGTGTTTGGTCTCTCATTCTGACGGCACCCATTCACTGCAGAGGATGCATTGGTGAGCAAGTGATGGAATGCTAAATTTCGCCAAATCTGTTCCGATCATCTACATCTTGAAGCCCCATTTATGGCCCTAACATACAGCCTGCAAATGCAGAGTTGATGTAAAAATTGCCCCTTGCAAACTAGACTCTCACCAAAAAAGTATTTCAAAGTAATATGGATCCTTGTGCTTCTTGCATTAGTAAATGACTGTGTCCCTCCTGCTGTAAGTGGAAGGTCAGTGCGCAGCAGCTGGGCAGGCGCCGGCCTCTCCCATCCCAGCTGGAAACACTTACAGAATGAATGGACCAAGAGACTCCAAACAACCACCCACAAGTGTCTGCCCTTTGCTGCTTTGTGTTCTAATACAGCAGTATTGATTTTATGTTTCACTGTCAGGGAAGAAAGGAAAGAAAGGCAGGAATCTTACTTTTTGTCCATTAATGATAACTGTAGAAACCTAAAGGAAGAGAAAAAATGGAGGGGTACTGGAGCTTTCAAGCTTGTAAAAGGATGCAAAAGCACCATTCAAGTATTCACACAAAGCAGTCCATGAAACTCGTGCACTATATTCCAAGTCTTGAGGAACCAAAATGTCAAGATTTTCAGATGTCCAATTGGCAGAGTTGCAGGAGTTAACAACTTACTGGAGGGAAAGATTAATGTTAATATTAAAATTAATGACAAAGCTGGCATATGAATTCAGAAGAATTAAAATATTATAAATCATTATTAAAATTTAAACATGACATTTCAGAAGCAATCAAATGAAAAACACTGCATTTCTTCTGATTGGGGTCTCTGAATCACAGGATTCACTGGGGCACTGAAATGCTTTTAAGACCTGGATTCCAGGTTTGTTTTATTAGGGTCATGAACAGCAAGAAATAAAAACAATGCTAAATGCAACCACTGTACAACTCCACAGTTGTCTATTTAGTTTGATTATATTTTCAGCAATGCTTCGTTGCTGATGGACCACAGACATGACAGCTGAACCCAAATTAGATTCAGTAGGCTGTGGTTTGAGTACGAGTTTCAAAATTATCTGCTGCTAATTTGAATAACTATATCCAGGGCCAGAAAGATGATGATAAAAAAATTATGTTTTCATACCAGTTCCTACCTGCTTGTTATTGTTGAGAGCTGCTGGTGCTGCTGTAAACACTGAGGCAACAGTGAACACCTGGAACACATTAAAATGGCGTTGTGTTGGTGCCACCTGGCGGACGGTACAAGTAGTGCAGAGGACAGGCTAGTGGATAAAAGGTTATTAGGCACATCAATTATCTCTATCTTGCGTTCGTGAAAATTGGTCTATGTATATAATGTTGTTAAAACTTACACTGTAAAACTAATAAGACAATGCGAGGCTTTCCAATTTACCTTCGAGGCACTGTCGAGGTTCGTCCTTTAGATAAAACTAGCCAAACATCAATCATCAGGTGAATGCGACTTCTATTTCGTTGGCGTTAGGTCATTTAACCCTTATATAATACATAACTAAAGGTTATAATATGAAACGTTTGTAGTTACTGTAATATGTAAAATTAAAACGTTTTAGCATGTGCTTTTTAAGAAAAGTTGTTTTTATAACAAAAAACAATTGTTTTTTGTTATAAATCAACAACGCATTTTTTTATTGACCTTATATAGCCATGATGAAACACCAAAATAAATTGATCACTAAATTAACACTCATTGGACAGTCTGTACGTGTTCCTTATCATAAATGAAGCATATACCCCTGACTAAGGTACATTTTCACTTATAATGTTGATATCAAACATAATTTGACCCACATTACAGGTTCCTGTGTGTGTATGAGAACAAATATGAAAAAAAACATTCACAATGTGTACCTGTGTAAACATAACTTAACATTACAATACTTTATATCCCCCCCCCCCATATGTGCCCAAAGGATGTCTTTGGGCACATGAACCAGTCGGTGGCGACGGAGGGCCTGGGAATGGGAGAAACTGCGGCCGCATTCAGATACTGGACAGAGAAAAGGACGCTCTCCGGTGTGGGTGCGCTGGTGTGCTTTTAATAAGGACGGGAAGTGGTAGCTTTTGCCACAAACATGGCAGCTGTTGGGCAAAGAGGGGTCAACTGCAGTCCCACTTCCCATTACTTCAGTGGAGTGGACTTTCTTTATGTGACTTCTGAGGTTTTGCTCCTGAGAGTGACTGAATGGACACTGCAAGCATGAGTAAGTGTGAGAGGATACATCTGCAAAAAGAAAGAGTCATCAACATAGTCATTCACTGATTTTTTTATATGTACCTCTTTGGCATCTGTACATCAGAACCTCAAAATAAATAGTGGAGTAATGAGAAAGTGACTCACTTGTGTTATCTGAGGTGCAATCAGACTTGTCAGACTCCACAGGGTCACCCCTAAAAACATTTAACAATAGTACCACAATCAATATATGTGCTTGGTAGATACACACAAGTTGAGGTTGTGAAATGTCATGTTATGTGACTTCCCAAAAACGTAATATGTATGAATTATTAATTCACTTTTTTTTTTAAATATTTACCTTGAAAAAAATAAAACATTAATAAAACATTTAAAACATTGTTGAAAAAATGATCAAGTACAGTCATTAATAAGTATGATGTATTATACAAGAAATACATATATTATTTTTTATTTCAAAGTTATACCACGTGACATTTTTAGTCTAAACTTAAATTGAAAACTGAATTCTTTCTTGAAAATTGCTAAAAGGTTTTTTAAAACCATATGCAACTATTTTTATATTATCATTCAAGCTTTTCATTTTTATATTTTTTAAAAGTTTAATTTAAGTTTTAGTAATTGTATTGTGTTTTGTGATTTTTTTTAGATTGAATTCATTTTTTGTTTCTGTTAAGTCTGAATATTTTCTTCAATTCAAACTTATTTGTTTCAGCTAGTTGCCAAGGCAACTTTTCTAATTTAAGATTAAGATTTAAGTTTATAATATTTATATTTTATTTTACTTCAGCTTTATTTCAATTACAGAAAATGACTTTTAATAGTTTTAGTTTTAGTTAACAAAAACAGCACTGGAAAACAACATTTCTAAGAACTGCTTTTAGAACCGCCTTTTCTGAATTGTGGACACTATTATTTGCCACTGACCCATGTAAGTCATCATAACCCAGATATGAATTTCAATAATCTATACTATAATAAACAATATTTGTTCTGTGTACCAAGTTTGTTTTAATGAAGACATTAGGAGTCGTACATATGTTCAAGAATGTTCTTATATACTCTTATGTTATATCTTATGATTGCGAGCATACTAATACTCATGTTGAAACTGCAACAACAATAAGCAAATGATGAGCTTACTTGTTTTCTGAGATAACAGGCTTCTGTGCAGATCTGTGCATGCTTACAAGTATTTTGGGTACAGCACTGTCTTCAGGCACTGGTTGTGTAGACAAAGGAGAAGACAGGAACTCTGACTGTTCAGTATTAGAGTCGGATTCCTCTATTACATCTGTAGAATTGTGGTCTTCTGGAAGCGTTAGCACAGAATCATTCAAAGCCACGGCTCTTGCACACTCTGATTCTGTAACAAGATGCTCTCCATCATCATCCGGTACTACCAGAGTCTCTGTACATTCAGATGCTCCTACTACTGATTCCGCTGCGCTTTTCTGAATGTGGTCCGAGGTCTGTCTGTCGAAAATCTGAACGTGACCTACTCTCTTCTGATGGATGTCACTCGCTTTACCAGAGAGTGTGGACAGGATGCAATTTCCTGCACTCATGGGCTGACAAGGGTCTGTCGCAATATGGAAAGATATTGTTATAAACTGTAACTGTCATTGACTTCAGCAAAGTGTTGAAGACAAGCAGACTTGATCAGATTCTTACATTTGGTATCTAGATGTCCAAGGTTCTTGTAGTGCTCAAGCAGTGTCTTTACGTGATCTGACTGACTATTGAACTCCTCACAGTCTTTTGAAACAGGCAACAGTGGATCAAGCCAAGCCAGAGTCTGAAACCAGAAGGTTAGCAATAGCAAACTCAGGACATATACAATTATGTTTTGACCTAATTTAATAGAACATTTTTAATAAATATTGTAAGTGTTGTTGAAAAAAGCTGAAATAAAATAAAAAATAAATAATAGATGAAAAAATTTAAATAAATGAAAATTTTAGTTGAAGAACTAAGATTACTAAATGAGAAAAACTAAACCTGAAAACGTAAAATTGAAATTAAAATAAAAGCTATTTACAAATATTAAACTAATAAAAATGACAAAAGCATATAAAAAATTACTAAAAATGAAACTAAAATTAAAATATAAAAATAAAAGCAAATTACTAAAAGATACTAATAAAGCTATAAACGTTTATAAAAAATACTAAAATAACACTGTTGAAATCACAGTAATCCAAATATTCATAATATATTCCTTAATATGAATGATAGTGGATAGTTTCTCACAATATAGTATTATAATATGACACAAGATGATAAAAATTGTGTTTGTGCAGGTTTTCAGTGTCATCTTTGCAAAAACTCCAGATTTAACGATAAATAATAGATTGTAGTTCCCAAACACAATTTCTAGGAATCTAGATTGACCACGACATCCCACCTGCTGGAGGTCAGGGATTGGCAGGAAGTGCTCCAGCCTAGACAGGAAATGCTACATCAGGATCCGAATGGCTGCGTCAAAGTCAGTGCCGAAATCCACTGGAAACACGTGCTGTAGAAACCAGAGTGAAGGACAGAGAAATAAGCAATAATAATAAAAATTAAAAAAAACACTTAACATAATGTTTATTAGATCTGACCTGGAAGAAATGCTCCTTCTCATCCACATCTTTAATAAGTGTGTGGACCAGCTCCACAAAACGAACACCTGCTTCTCCCACCACAGTGTTATCCACCTGTTTGACATCACACTCAATTTAATTTCTCTTTAACACTTTACAGTATTTGAAACATGTAATATCAAAAGCCCAATAACTGAAAGCTAGAATTGTTTGAAAATATCAGTAATAAAGATGAAACTATTCTAATTACGAGTTGAATGCTGTTTAGGTGAGTATGGATTGTGTGCATGTCGGCAGCGTTGTCTCTCTCACACAACTCCAAAACAAGCTAGATGCAAGAGGAAAAAAAGAGTATTTGTTAGCAGACAACCATTCGACTATGATTTTTCCATGAATAATATATTTATTGAAGAATTTGACCAACTCAGCTGTGGTCAACGCAGTCCTAAAATGAGTTGAACTCCAAGTCTACGACTAACCAATCTGGAACTGCCTCTGACACCAATGAAACAAAATCTGCCAGCATCCCATACTGCATCACATCCTTCTGCTGCACAATTCTCCACATGAAGGCAGACATGAGGCGTACAGGAGGGACCAAGAAGCGCAGGGCGGACAGAGGGAGAGGAATTCTGTCTGGAAATCCATTTTAAACCATTGTCAAAATAGAATAACAACCATGCACGAATCAGTGGAGTTTGGTTGAGTTTTTAGACTAAATATTAATATAAGCGATTGTTTGTGGCTGGCTTGGTTAGACATCTAAAGATTTAAAGTTCAAATATCTGTAAGTAAAGAAAATTAGATGATAAATTACTTGCAGCATCCTCTCACCCAAGTGCTCTTGTTTGGGGAATTTAATGTCCATGATGTAGTCATTTAACTGCTGTTCTTGAAGTCAAGAATTTCAGATGTTGCTTGTTAATCCGCTCATTTCTGTTGTACAGTATTTGGTAGATTTACCACGCAAAATTACATTAAAAGTCACTGAATGTTTTGGATTTTAGTAAACACAATTATGTGAACACAGCCCTCTGACGACACTACCAAAAACAGTTTCAAAATAAAAGCTTGTGGCGTCTTCTTCTTCTTCTTCTAATAACGTTTTATGGCGGATATATATATATATATATAAACACACACACATATACATACATTTAAAAAAAAACTAAATTCTCCTGATTAATCCTATTTCTTTAATGTATTTTATAACAGCACCATATATTTTACCTTGTTCTGCATGCTCTTTCAAAAGCCTTGACCAATTAAATGATTCAACACCCATGTTTCTTACGTCCTTAATGAGTTTTAACCTTTCATTTTCATATTTTACATTTTATTAAAACATGCTCTATTGTTTCTGCCTGATTACAAAAAAAATACATTGACCTGTTTCATGTTTTCCTATCTTCTAATAACGTTTTATGGCGGATATATATATATATATAAACACACACACATATACATACATTTAAAAAAAAACTAAATTCTCCTAATTAATCCTATTTCTTTAATGTATTTTATAACAGCACCATATATTTTACCTTGTTCTGCATGCTCTTTCAAAAGCCTTGACCAATTAAATGTTGAACCGTTGAAGTTGGACACACCGATGGTCTTGACCAACCCAGCATCCACTAACTCTTCCATTGCCTTTGTGAGAAGAAATTAACACTAAAATAAAAAGTGATTTTTCTTTTATCATTGATCAAATGTGAGTTACACAAGTCTCAAATTTCCTATAATAAACAGAGAGTGATTTAATCTAGTATGCCCTATTCGGATGCGAGAAATAATTGTATCTTCTTTCCTATTCCTAAAAACACTTCTTCCATTTCCTACTTGCTGCTGAATATTATACATATGTCTGCCCTTGCTAGCTTCTGACGTCTGCAACAACAATAAAATAATAATAAAATAAAATAAATGGACGCTTCAATGTAATTGTTGCAATTAGCCTATACTATTATCGCTACGATCATCATGTCATTCAGATTTTAAGAATCGCAAACTGTCTAAATAAAAACTCTTACAACTGTCTAAATGAAAGAAAGAAAGAAAGAAAGAAAGAAAGTTATAAATTGTACAAAATAATTCGGATGTATTTGTGGCGGTTATTACAATCGATATGATATATCATGTCATTCATGTTTTAAAAATCAGAAGCAATTACAAAAATGTTTATATGTATATATATATTATACTTTTTTTTTTTAATAATTAAACAAATTTTCTTTCAAAATCTCTCTGAACAACAAGCAAGTCTGCTTTATGCTGGAACAGGGGTGTCAAACTCATTTTAGGGGGAGGGCCGGATGAGAAGAAATGTCGCCATTAACGGGCCGAATCAACTTTTTTTTTTTTTAATCACAGTGCACCAAATTACAAATTAATTTGCAAAAAAAAAACTAGAAAGACACTATTCTGTAAAACTGCATTTAATAAGACTTTTTTGTAATCAGGCAGAAACAATAGAGCATGTTTTAATAAAATGTAAAAAAATATGAAAAAGAAAGGTTAAAACTCATTAAAGAACTAAGAAACATGGGTGTTGAATCATTTAATTTGACAAGCCTTTTGAAAGAGCATACAGAACAAGGTAAAATATATGGTGCTATTATAAAATACATTAAAGAAATAGGATTAATCAGGAGATTCTCCACAATCATTTCTGTGCATATATATATATATATATATATATATATATTAATGCTTATCTGTGTATCAAAATTGGCAGCCTGGAAAAGAGTTTTTCCCATTTGATAAGGATGGCCAAGTAATTCCAGACAACAGCAACTTTCTAGAAACATGGGAGGTAATAAACAGTATAATAAAAACAAAATTAATTTGAGACTTGTGTAACTCACATTTGATCAATGATAAAAGAAAAGCACTGTTTATTTTAGTGTTAATTTCTTCTCACAAAGGCAATGGAAGAGTTAGTGGATGCTGGGTTGGTCAAGACCATCGGTGTGTCCAACTTCAACGGGGATCAGATTGAGGGAATCCTGAATAAACCAGGACTCAAGTACAAACCTGCCAATAATCAGGTATTGTGTTGTTTGCAATAAATCTGAAGAACTTGAAACGGATTAAGACATTGTAGTTCATTGGTGCCAAAATCTTTCCGCTGCTTCTCACGTCCAGATCGAGTGCCATCCATATCTGACTCAGGAGAAGCTGATTAACTACTGTCAGTCCAAAGGCATTACAGTCACCGCATACAGTCCTCTGGGTTCCCCAACCAGACCATGGTAAGTACTCTCATTCGTATATATATATATATATATAGTGAGATGGCTATACATTATTTCATATAGATTTGACTTTCTTTAGGGCACAGGCAGGTGAGCCATCACTGCTGGAGGACCCAAAGATCAAAGCCATTGCAGATAAGCACAGTAAAACCACAGCACAGGTAGGTATAAACTTGCGTTTTTTTATTAGTTATGATATGCTAAATCCATGTTATGTATCCACCAACTTTGAAGCACAATGCTTTACCTGTCAGCTGAATGCGAGATGACCCTAGTAATATTTGCTAGTTTGCATTACACACGCCTTCCTCCATTTTGTGACATGCTAAGTATTGAACTTTCCTTCCAGGTTCTAATCCGCTTCCACATGCAGAGGAATGTTGTGGTCATTCCCAAATCTATAAACCCTAAGAGAATCAAAGAGAATTTTGAGGTATTTCCATTTTAATTAAACCATGTACATATGTGTTCTACATGTAGCACAAGTTCTCCAGATATACAAGAATAATCACATTTTCAGAAATGGTCAACATATACATAATTTTATTAAGATTTAGGTCTTTTATCCTTACAGGTCTTTGATTTTGAGCTGAGTAAAGAAGAGATGAACACCATACTGAGTTTTAACAGAAACTGGAGAGCTTTTATGCTGGAATGGTGAGTCATCGTTATGCAAATTTTCCATGTTATGTATCCACCAACTTTGAAGCACAATGCTTTACCTGTCAGCTGAATGCGAGATGACCCTAGTAATATTTGCTAGTTTGCATTACACACGCCTTCCTCCATTTTGTGACATGCTAAGTATTGAACTTTCCTTCCAGGTTCTAATCCGCTTCCACATGCAGAGGAATGTTGTGGTCATTCCCAAATCTGTAAACCCTAAGAGAATCAAAGAGAATTTTGAGGTATTTCCATTTTAATTAAACCATGTACATATGTGTTCTACATGTAGCACAAGTTCTCCAGATATACAAGAATAATCACATTTTCAGAAATGGTCAACATATACATAATTTTATTAAGATTTAGGTCTTTTATCCTTACAGGTCTTTGATTTTGAGCTGAGTAAAGAAGAGATGAACACCATACTGAGTTTTAACAGAAACTGGAGAGCTTTTATGCTGGAATGGTGAGTCATCGTTATGCAAATTTGCTGTGGACTTTGTATCCATTAGTGTAATATTAGGTGTCTAGAAATGCTAATGGCCTCCTTTGCCTTTTTATTGCAGGGCTTCCAAGCATAAGGATTATCCATTGAATGCTGAATACTAAAGCTTTAATAAATCCAGTTTCTAACTGCAGTGTGAAGTAAATATGACTTCTGCTTTTCCCATCAGGGATAAATGAAGTATGTTGATAATCTCAGAGACTGCAAGAAAGTTAGGAGCAAAACCACATTATCAGCATTTATTCAAGTGTAATATAGCCATTTGAGGGACTGAATGTGGTTAAATGTTTAAGTAAAGGTCAAGTGAGTTGTTAAAGACATGAGAAAGACTTTACACACATTCAAAAACATAAGCCAGAGAGCTGTTTGACACAGAGCTTTATTTGGATTTTTAAAGCATACATCAATACACTAAACATGAGCTGCTCTTGCGAACTGGAAGAGCTTCTGTTGTCATATTATGAAAATTAGGAGTGTGTATGTATATATATATATATATATATATATATACACATATATATATATATTCTCAGGACCAATACTTTCTCATGTTATCTGCCTCATTGTGCAAAGTATGTGACATTGTTCAAATAAAATGTTACTAGTGCAGATGTTTCTTAAAGACTTCTTTATGATTAATTGTGTTGTTTTGTGATATTTAATGCAAGCCTTTTCACATTTGCACTGAAGTAGTAACAGCTTGAAATTGTCAAAGCATTAACAAATACTTCCATGTTTATGGGCAAAAAAAGAAGATTAATTTGAAGTATAGCTGCTGTAATAAGACTTGCTTTAAATTCCAAACCAGCAAGTCACATATCAGTTGCAGGAAGTTTCTCAGTAACTGATTCATAATTGAAAATGAAAAGCATTTTCACATTGATCAATGGCAAAAACAACAATCCTGGGAACAAGGAATTTGTTTTCTTTAAACAGCATTTTTCGAGATGTCTTCTTTTAATACTCGGCATTAAATGGGTAGTCCTTGTGCTTCAAACCCCTGCATTGATAGAAGAACACATTAAGTTAAAAGATGAATAAATTATAATTTCATAAAAATAACTTTTTTAGAAAAACCAGGGTTCCCCCTCCATTTTCCAGTTGTTTGTGATTACTTTATAGAGACTGCACACAGTAACAGCTATTTCTAGTACATTAGGTTTCTGAATAGAATTTCTGCAGGTTTTATGAAGGCAATTTTAATACTTTTTAAGACCTGTTTAAGACCAAGTAAAGAAAATTGAAGGAAATCAAGAAACATTTACTTGAGAAGCAAAATGACACAAGATTAAAAGAATGAAGGGAGTTTATGATTAAAACAAGAATATCTTCCAATGGGCTCAGAAAAACCAACTTAATTCAAATGGAAAAAGTTTTAATACCCCATTGACAGATATTTGTTCTTATTTCAGGCATTAACTTATTTAATTTTGTTCAAGTTATATATTTAATTTGCACCTCAAGTACATGCATCTTGATTAATCTTGATCTGTTTAGATATTTTTATTGGAAACAAAACATAAATACTGACGATATTCATTTTTTCCAGTGCATGCAACATTTAATGACATGACATCATGAATTTAAGACTTTCTGCTCTGATTTAAGTCATTTTAAGCCTTAATTTGTGAAAGTGCAAATTAAGATCTTTTAAACCCTGCAGAAACTCTCATTTATATTGACTACATTTATATGACTTTATTTTTCCAAGCATTTATTAAATTCCATAACACTTCTAAAATTCCATGATGGCCATAACCTGGGAACCCTGTGAAACTTACTCACCAATGCATTGGACAAGTCCTGAAGTCCTTGTTGAAGCCCAAAATGGTCTTCATGTCCTCCTCACTCAATTCAAAATCAAAGACCTTTTGGTGTAGAAAAAATATGAAGAAAATAAATACATAATAATTCAACATATTTATACAGTACTAGCAACACTATGATTCCAAGACCTTACTGACAGCAAGACTTCTGAAGATGAACTTACTTGAAAGTTCTCTTGAATACGCTGAGGTGTGACAGACTTAGGGATGACAATCACATTCCTCTGAATGTGGAAGCGGATGAGGACCTGTACATTGAATGTCAAATAGACATTTTTCTATGGATCATTAACAAGCTTTGACATATACAGGACGGCAGTCTCCTCACCTGGGCAGAAGTCTTTTTGTGCTTCTCTGCAATGGCCTTGATGTTTGGGTCATCAAGCAGTGAGGGATCTTCAGGTTTAGCCCTAAGTTTGAGACAAAGTTCAAAGGTTATTCATTGAAACCATATATAAAGTCACCAGCTGCACCTTGAACCTTCATAGCAAATAAATGTCACATGCAACAAAGCTACAGCATGTGGGAACGGCGGCCTACCAAGGTCTGTCTGGAGAACCCAGAGGACTGTATGCAGTGACTGTAATGCCTTTGGACTGACAATAGCTAATCAGCTTCTCCTGAGTCAGATAGGGGTGGCACTCAATCTGAAGAAGAAAAACAACATAAAAAAATGTATTTTTTATATATTTTATAACTTTATACACACAGACCATTCAAAACTTTGAGATTAGAAATTATTGTTAATGTTTTTGAATGAAGTCGCTTATGCTCACCAAGGCTGCATTTATTTACAGTAAATAATAATAAAAAAGAATATTTTATTATAATCAGTAACCGCAAAAAAAAATCAGTGTCTCTTATTATTATCAATATTGAAAACAGTTGTTCTGCTTAATATTTTTGCAACAAAAAAAAAGTGATTTAAATGCTGTTCATTTGGATTTTATTTTAAATTGAAATCTTCTGTAACACTGAAAGGCTTTACTGTCACTTTTGATCAATTTAATGTGTCCTTGCCTTGCTGAATAAAAGTATTCATTTCTTTTAAAAACTCTTACGGACCCCAAATAGTAATTTTACAGTCATTAAAACAAATTTTTTATCATTTTTATTATATATATTATAATAGATAATTTATTATATAATATATTCCAGATTATTCAAACATAAAACAAAACGCACAGCACTCCCTGTTACAAAGCATTAGGTCTGCGGATCACAATGCAAGCAGTGTCCTAATGACATTTTAAGCCTATATCCAGATAAATAACTGCGTCTACCTTTGACAAGTAGCAGGAAATTAAAGGAGCAATTGAATTACACGGTTGCTGGAGGCAAAATGCTGGTCATTAGATAAATATTGACCTTTCTTGGTCCATCTGTAATTGTTAAATGAAACCACACTGATGCACACTGATGGTATACGGTACCGACCTGGTTGTTGGCAGGTTTGTACTTGAGTCCTGGTTTATTCAGGATGGCTTCGATTTGTTCTCGATTAAAGTTGGAGATGCCAATGGCCTTGACCAACCCAGCGTCCACTAACTCCTCCATGGCCTACAGCACAAATATTACGACATAATTATAGTTACTTAAATAGAGCTAAAACTATTAGCCAATATACACTGGAATTGCAATGGAAAGTCATTATAATGAATGCAGTAATATGTAAAACAAATTAATTTGTAAAAATGAATGTAAACGGTAACTTCACAATCAAATCCATGTCCTCATACCTCCCAGGTGTCCAAGAAATTGGTGTCATCACCAATGGCTAACTCTTCACTGTCCAATGGGAACTGATCAGGCCTAGGCTGAAAAGCAATGATGACAATTCGTTTCTGAATAGTGTTACAGTGAGATCTTAGCTTCCATTGTGGAGATCAACACTGAATGCTACCCATGAATGACAAGACAGACACGACTTTAGAGAAGATGTTTCTCAGAAATGTCTAATAAATCACCTTAAAGCCCATTGGCCAGTGAACCAGGTAAAGATCAAGGTAGTCCAGCTTCAGATCACTTAAAGTCTTTTGACAAGCTCCTTTCACTAAGGCCTTCTCGTGAAAGGTGCACCGGAGCTTTGAAACAAAAATGCATGCAATTAATTTGTTTTCATTCATCACAAAACTACTAAATCAGCACTTGACTTTCCATTTCTTAAATAAAAATCTTGAGCTAAATGGTGCAAACTGGCATACCTTGCTGACCACAAAGAGTTCTTCTCTTTTAACCACACCATCTTTTATCATGGCCTGAATTCCCTCTCCCACATCCGTTTCATTGTTGTACACTGCGGCACCATCGATGTGTCTGTACCCCGCAGCGATGGCTGCCTTAACAGCCTCTGCCACTTTACCTGGAGGAGACTGGAGGGGAAACGACAGAGTATAATCACCAAAAAGGATAGGACAAAAAGAGAAAGGAATGGGAAAAATTGAGTGGTAAAGAAAGGAAACTAGAAATGATAGGGGAAAGGAAAATGAAAATAGAAATGATAGGGGAAAAGAAAAGGAAAATAGAAATAACAGGGAAAAAGGAAAATTATGGAAAGAAAAAAAAAGCACAAAAAACAGAAAAGAGGAGGGAAATCAAATGGCAGGAAAAGGGAAGAAAATCTAAATAAAACAAATAACTGCACTAAAAAAACTGCTGATTTTGTGTTTTCATTTTTTTCCCCACTATGATTCTACTACATATGGAAAAGAACAAAGTTCGTTCTTTTTTAGTCACTTTAGTATCAATTCTTCTCTCAATAGCTCATCTTATCGATCAAACAAACGACGTACTGAATGTTATCAGTTAATTGCCACCCAAAAGACTGACACAGGTAATTTTGCTTACTCATTATGACCAAACTACATTCTCTAGACACAAACATTCACATTTTAGAGGATTGCTCAATACAGTTTATTTACCATCATTTCAAATTTTTAAACAGCCAAACTTTTCATAACCGTCTTTGCAACTTCTCTCCTCTGAACTAACTTGCAACCCATTTGATTCATTTCGCACTTTTTGCAGCCTCATTATTACTGTGCAACTTCAGATCATTATTTTGATAGTGTCTTTTCTGTTCTTTTACATCATATTTCACCTTTGCATGCATTTTAAAAACTTTTGGGCATGAATTCCTCATGCAGCTAAATTAATGCACTTGTGTAAAATATATCACGATCACTCACAGAAGTTACTAGACCGGGGCTGTCCAAACTCGGTCCTGGAGGGCCGGTGTCCTGCAGAGTTTAGCTCCAACCGTAATTAAACACACTCGGTATTGAGCTTCACAGACGTTGCCATGGTGAAAGA